ACAGCTCCCCCCAGCAGGGGTACCACCAGCGGAGCCATTTCTTTGGCCGGCGAGAGACCCTGCCTTGACTGGACGCAGCATGAACCCTTGATGTGGCCATAAATCCATAATCTGGGCTTCACTCTGATTCCCCCTACTCAGATTAGCCAGAAAATGGCCTGGTAGGGCTCCATTTTTTGCTGTACAGATGAAGTTCTATTTTTTAAAAAATTACATGATTCCAAGTCAAAGACTGGCGTAGGGTGGGCAGAGCACAGGTGGGAAGCTTTGTCCTCACCTCACGACCTCCCTGCTGCCTCCCACTGCAGCCCTAGAGGGACCCTCAGGTGGGACTCCCAAGCAGATGGGGCTCCAGGCCAGCGTCAGGGCCACACTGACCCTAGGAAATGGGAAGAGGGTACTCAGGGCCTCACTGGGTGTGGGGGCAGAGCGGGACCAGGGCCAGGACAAGCGGTCATTATCCAGAGTGGCCTCAGGGACTCTGGCCAGGAAAGTTGATGCCTCATTATTTATTTATCCCATATCCATCCAGTATCTACGGAGTTGGGGAGCCTGGAGGTCAGGATGGAGACGGGTACCTTCCCACCCTGGAAAACCTGTCTCGGGAACCCAAGGGGCTGGGATGGGTCCCTTGGCAGAGCCATCAGGGCCTGCCTGGGGCCCGAGCAAGGTCAGAGTTAGGGCGGCGCTCGTGTGCCAGCCCTTCTTCGTGAATGTTTCTGAGGCGCCAGCCCCTCATATGTACCCAGTACCCTCCCAGCCAGCCTATGTGGCCAGGGTCATCTGGTCCCTTCTGACTGGCCCACGAAGGCCCAGGCGGCCACTCAGACACCCCCAGGCAGCACCGAGCATCCTGGGGGGAGGGGCACAGCTGAGTCCCCATCTGTTTGCTGCCCCCACTCCCCACAGCCACTTGGCTTGGAGCCTGGACTCCAGTGGGGCTGGGGCTCCAAACGCTGCCCCCCAGAACCTAGGCAGGCCTGAGGACACCCCTGACCTGGTGTACAGCATGCAAGGGTCACTGAGGTGGAGACAGTGGGTGACAGCGGTGGGGGTGTTGCCTTCTGTGTGTGTGGAGTGTGTGCATTTGTGTGAGTAGTGAGCATGCGCTTACATGTATGTGTGCAAACGTGTGGGGCAGCTGAGGAGGGTTCAGGCAGAGAGGGCTGGTGCTGCGGCAGTGAGACCATCGTAAGTGGGACTTCCTAGATGTTTCTAGGTCTCGTATCCAAGCCCCAGCCAAAGAAACCAGCGGCCACTTGGAAGTGCGTGAAATCTCCCTGCCCTTGGAAGGCCTGTCACAATAGAGTCCTGCAGAGAGAGCACTGCCCCTGCATCCCAGGGGTGGCCCTGCCCCATCGTGGGGTCTGGCTCAGCCTGGGAGAACCCCTCTTTTGAGGATGTCTGCCTCTTCCCCAGTCAATTCATCCTGACGAGGAGGCAAGGGAGAGAGAAATCCTGATTTTAGCTAAGCTCTTTGCTGCAGGAAGTTGCTGACTGGGAGTAAATGCAGGTTCTTGACCATGTGTGGAGGGCAAGCAGGGCAGGTGCAGGCTTGTGGACGTCTGCCTACCCCACCGAGCAGGCCAGGCAGGGGCCAGCCCTCTGTGTAAGTGGGGAGTGTCACCCGACTCACGAACCAGAGCCCTTGGGAGAATGAAATGGGAGCTTTTTCTGCCTAAGAGCTCAGCCTATGTAAGGCCAATTTCCACTCCCTCCCTGCCTCTGAGAGTGTGAGGAGCACCCTCCCAGGGCCCTGCCAGCACACTCGGGGTGCACGCCCAGGACTCACACTCCATGTACTCCATACCAGCCACACTTGGGGTGCATGCTCAGGACTCCCACTCAGTGTACCCCATACCAGCCACACTTGGGGTGCATGCCCAGGACTCCCACTCCATGTACCCTGTACCAGCCACACTTGGGGTACACGCCCAGGATTCCCACTCCATGTACCCCATGCCAGCCACACTTGGGGTGCATGCCCAGGACTCCCACTCCATGTACCCCATACCAGCCACACTCGGGATGCACGCCCAGGACTCCCACTCCATGTACCCCGTACCAGCCCCACTCGGGGTGCACGCCCAGGACTCCCACTCCTGTACCTCGTACCAGCCACACTCGGGGTGTACCCCCAGCACTCCCACTCCATGTACCCCATACCAGCCACACTCGGGGTGCATGCTCAGGACTCCCACTCCTGTACCCCATACCAGCCATACTTGGGATGCACACCCAGGACTCCCACTCTGTGTACCCATACCAGCCACTCTCAGGGTGCACACCCAGGACTTCGGCTCTGTAACCCATACCAGCCAAGCAGGTGGCTGGTCATCTGTCCTTCCTGTCCCTCTCTGTGGCCCTGTCGAGGACTGGGCCTCCACCCCACCCTGCCTCCCAAGGTTTCACTCTGTGCCCTTGGCCACCTGGTGGGGTGATCAGGCCTTGATGTCCGCAGCGGGGATCTGTCACAGACACACGTGCCTTCCACACGCTGTGAAGTGAGAGGACACGCGGAGTCCTTTTTCCACCAGGAGATCCTATTCTTTTTGGAATCCTGTGCATGTGTAAGAGACACTGAGAGGGGATGGGCTGGGGAGAGGGACAGAGGGAAGCAGATGAGGGGGGCCTGGGACGGGTGGGGTGTCCTCTCCGGGTGATGTCAGCCTCCGAGGCCTGGCCTGCAACAGGGCCCGCAGTGGGCACCTTCCCTAGCTGGGTGAGAGGAAATGCTGGGTGGGTCCCGACGGGAATGAGGCTTCCTCGCTCTGACCAGGTTGGCCACGGTGCCCTGCGGCCCTGGCCTGCTCTTGGGTGGGATGTGGCCGAGACACCCCCGGAGCTCTACCCTGCATGGGGCAGGACCAGGGCCTGTTTGTACCTCACAGGGTGTGAGGGATCTGTAGGGGTGTGCCTGTGCACTGCTCTCCCCACTGTGGCCCCAGGCGTGGGGCTTTACCCTCCACCCAGCATGCCTCTGGTTCTCTGCAGATGCCAGGGGCATCCTGCAATCAACTCAGTTCTGACGCCTGCTAACCAGGGTTAGCACTGACCCCAGGTCGAGGGATCAGTTCCACAAGACACCCCTGCTTCAGATGCAAGGAGTGGGTCCCCAGGTCACTACACTCTGGCTGGGCACGGATCAGAGGTTCCTCAGACCCCATCGTGGAAACAATATTTGCTAGGGTGGATCACAGAACTTAGGAAAGCACTTAGAGTTTATTTTACAAGGAAGTAATATATACTCAGGGAAGAGCAGAGACATGGGGCAGGGCAGGAGCGGGGTACACCCGCTCCCGGAACCAAACGCCACCAACCCAGGAGGGAGCTCTCTGGGCCCCATCCTTGTTGCTGTTGATGGAGGTTTCCTTATGTAGGTGTTACTGGTTAAATCATTGGTCATTGGTGATTAACTTGACCTCCAGCCAGAGGTCTGGGTGGGTGGGGCTGAAGTTCCAACCTCCAAGGCTGTGAGCGGCTCTCCAGAAGGACCTTGGTAATGTGAGCTCACCATGGCCGCAGGGGCTCCTTATGAGCAAGATGGTCTCCTTTTGATGCCTGTCACAGCAAACTCCACGGGGTTCAAGAGCTCCGCGCCAGGAACGGGACAAAGATCAGGTATTTATGTGTCTCATTATAAATCACAACTTCACATGGCCTTTCCGGAATTTTTCCTTAGGGCACAAAAATCCAGCCACACTCTTGGCTGCTCGGACATCTGGGGGATCCGGGAAGGCCACGTGGTGGGCTGGCTGACAGCCACGCGGGGGCGGCCCTGCTCTGGACGCTGCCAGCACATCTCCTGGGTGCAAATCCCACAGCACGAGGGTGCTGACGGCAGAGGGGGAGGGACACACACTCCCCGCCACCGCATGGCCAGGGAAGAGGCTGGCTAGGGCTTCCTTGTTTTGTTTTTCTTTCTAAGAACTAAAAGTTGGGTTGCAGTGCTGAGAATGAATCACATGTAAAGCCCTGAGCGACCTGGCCTGCAGGTGGTTTCGGGCACACAGCTCACCCAGGCCCCACACTGCGTATCTCACTGTGTCAGTGGCCACCGAATACCACCCGCTCCCCAAGACAGCCCAAGATATAGATGCTGCCCCATGACAGCTGGCGCTTCCTGGGGCCTGGGGCCTGCCTCCACGCTGGCAGGGGTCTGCTCCACTCCCCCAGTGAGTGGACCACCTGTGGTCTGTCTGACCACCTGTGGTCTGTCTGACCACCTGTGAGAAACAACTCTGTCTGCTTTGGTTGGGGACCTGCAAAGGGAGGCACTTCCCTTGCCTGCAGGCTTTCCCACCGGTCCCTGCGGTGGGAGCCACGCTGCCTTCTTGGGAGGGAGGCACCGTGCACACTGCAGCCCGTCCCCAACTTCAGGGGTCGCGGAAGGGGGCTGGGAAGGGGTGCGGTTGCCCTGGAGGGGACACCTGCTGTTGGTTCAGAACTGGGGGCAACCACAAGATCCTGGGTGAGTTCTCACAACCTCTGGCCTTGGTCTTCTCTCCTGTAAAGTGGGTGACAGCAATCGGAGGTCAGCTAGGAACACACTCAATGACACTGAGCAAAGGCTGGCTGCTGCACATACAGAAGTCCCCACTTTGGTTTAGGGGGATGTCTCCGGGCAGTTCCTGTCTCCCCCAGTAGCTGGTCATCAGAAGGCCTGTGATGGGGCCTCTGGGTCCCAGGACGTACTGAGCAGGAGGGGACAGCCTAGGGGGGCCTGTGCAGCTTCAGGGGCAACCGGCCGAGAGCCCTCAGAGCGGCCTCTGCCGTCAGTGCACCCCTCCCGGAAGGGGCCACCGCAGCCCTGCTCTCAGGGTCATCCGCAGACAGAGGAGCCACGGTAGGAAGGTGTCTGTCTCGCAGCCCGACCCCGACCCCTTGCCAGCCCCGGGCTCAGGGGCGCAACCCACCTCCCTCCCTGCAGCCAGCAGCCTGTGCTCATGTCCTCATTTGCACCCCTCCATTCTGGCTTTGGTCCCATCCTGCTCCCCCAGGACATTGCACCCCCTCTCCAGCCCAAGCTGCTTCCCCACATTTGCCCTCTTCGTTGGCTTCTCCCGCACTGGGCTGGGGCCCCTCTGCTCCAAGGATGTGGGGGGGGCCATCCTTCGGCTGGCACAGCGGCTGCCCTGTCCTCCATGAGCCTCCTCCCTGCCAAGGTCACCCTTGTCCCTCACTGGCTGCCCTCTCTGCACATCCGTATGGATGGTCAGCCCCTGGCCCCAGACATGGCACCAGGGTGCGTCCTCTGGCCTCGCTGCCCACACTCACCTGCCAGGCCCTCTGGCTCCCCAGACATGGGCTTCAAGCCCCATTGTCTGCCGAATACAACCCCACAGTTCTGTCCCCACCAAGCGCCAGGCTTGCCACCCAGCATGCCCTTCCCCTCGTTGGGGTCTGCCTGTGCCCCACTCCCAACTGGCCAGCATTTCAGGCTCTGTTTCTCCAACTTCCTCTGGCCTGGCCCCCTCCACCCCCACTTCCTTCAAACGCCAACCCTGCATCCCACCATGGAGGCCCCCTCCCCCTGCTTCCACGCTGTTACCTTTTTGTTCTTAAAAAGACACTTAATTTTAGGCTTACAGAAAAAGTGTGATGATGGTACAGAGTCTCCAGGCACCCAGCAGCTGGCTTCACCGTTGTAAGGACCTCTGACCGCGGGCCATGACGGGCAAGTCAGTGTGGGGTTCTCACCACTTTCCTACTTTCTGGAGCCCCACATGCTCCACGCTCACCACTTCTATTTCCTGCCCTAGTCTGAGAATCAGCTGTTTCTCAGGAGCCTGGTCTCCTTTGACTGGAGAGGGGTTTGAGGAACTGAGGTGGGTGCCAGCTATGCCCTTTGCTACCCTGCGTCATTGCTTCTTGGTCCTCTCAGCCGCCTGAGCTGCGCGTGCAGCTATCTATAGCATTTTTGTGTGTAACCATCTGTATCTTTATAAGCAATCATGAATTCATACTCCTGTCTCTGATCTGAACATTACCCTGTGGGTCATTCTGCCTCCCCCACTTCCTCCCCTGTAAGCTCTCAGTTGCGTTGGTGATGTAAGGCGGATCAGGGCCTGCCCAGCCTCTTGGTGGCTGGTAACCCAGAGCACAATCTGAGGGGTGTTTGCTGATTAGCCTGCTCTGGCCTGCTGAGATCTGGCTCTGCAGAACTGCCTGGGGCTCCTCTCCAGCCACTGGGCTCACACCTGCCTCAGGACCTTTGCACAGGATGGTCCCTTTCTGAAAGTTTTTCTGCTGGATTCCCGGAAGGCTCATATCCTCACTTCATGCAGCCTCATTGGGACATCATGTCCTTGAAGAAGTCTCCTGTCCTTGGTACCTTTAGGGGCCCTCATTCTGCCTCACTTTTCTGCTTCACAGCTTGGGGCGCTGCTTGTCATCCTGTGTATTTCTCTTTTAATTACTTAATTAACTCTTCATCTTTGGAGGGTGCTAGGGAAACAACTTCTCATTCTAAAACTGATAAATAAAGGTGCAAAATCAAGTGCTTACCCTGCCCTTTCTTGACAAATGAAGGGTTGATGGGGAGTTTTTTATGAGCAGTTAAATGATAAATGAGGAATGAATAATGGAATTCAAGTGTTGGCACTTTGCTACTTCCAGGGAAATAATGGACATGGGCATGGTCCTAGGTGGCTGCAGAGATGAGGAGGCGACAGGCTGGCAAGGCCCCTCACAGTGGGTGGAGCAGGCTGATGACACCCATGTAACTGCACGGAGGGGGACTTGCAACTCCAGAAAGTGGAGGGGGGGCGCATACTTACCTGGGGTTGAGTGGAATGAGCGCGATGGCCCACCCACTGGCTCTCAGGAGCTGGGCAGGCAGAGGAGCAGCAGGTGCCACCACAGGGGACTCTAGACACACCATGCAGACCTTATTTGGACCCCAATTTTAATGAGCCCAATGCACCAACAAAAAGTGTGACACAGCCTGGGAAACGGACCCTGATGGTGTTAAAGCACTCTCTGGCTTATTTCTGGGTATTACAAGGAGGCGTGATTATTTTTTTTAAAGACTCGTCTTTAGACATGGTTCTGTGATATTGATGGAGGAAATGACCTGTGGTGAGGGATTCACCTCAAAATAGACCAGCACTTGGGCTGTGCCTGTGGGCGTGGACGAGGCCATCGGTCACGGGCCGCTGAGGTGGTAGCCTGTGCAGGTGGCTGGTGCTGGGTGCTCATTAACAGCTCTCTGTGCTGGTGTGTGCTTGGCAGTTACCTAACGAAAAGTAAAAATCAGCCCATCAGCGGGTGGATTATTGGTCCCATGATCACCAATGATGGTGTGGGTGGTGTGGTGGTGGGTCTGGGCATGGCTGCAGGAGTGAGGTAATAGTTTCCTCCTGGGTCATGCAGGGCTTCTGCAACCCAGGGCAGCATGGGCCCATATCACTCGAATCCCAGGAAGACTTCCCAGCAAGCAGAGCCATAAGCCAGGCAGGTTTAACAACAAGCATAGACATAAGTGAAAAAATGAATGTGAACATGGACGTTTCAGAATGGTTTGCACCCAACTGTAGCCGTGATTTTGTTGACAGTTATATTTGTGTATGTTTCATCTGCTGTGCAAGAAATTTAAAATGCTCAGAAGAATCGTTCATGCTGAATCAGTAATTGCAGTTTTACAGGTTTGAGGAGATTCACTTAAGCTTATAAGCAAGCCTCAAGTGACTAAGAAAACTGTGTTTCAAAGTTCCCTTTATTTTCTATTAAGTTTGATAAATACACATGAAGGAGATAAAAGGAGGCCTCTGGTATCCCTGCCTTGTCCCCTGCAGCCATCTGGGGACTCGTCCTGCGAACCTGTGAGTCTCTCTGTTCGGAGCCCCACGTCCCCAGCCCAGGTGGGTGCATGGGGTGGGGGTGCATCTTGCTTGCATTGGAGGGAGGGGTAGGTGGTGTGGTGGTGAGACTGGGCATGGCTGCAGGAGTGAGTAGGGTGGGGCTTGTCCTTAGTGCCTCCCGCCCTGGGGAGGCGGCTGGAAAGGGAGTGCACTTAGCAGTGGGCGCCCAAGGGGCCAGGATGGTGCCCAGCAGCCATGCTTCTCGGCACAGGTGCCTCTGGCGTCACTGCCCAGCTGGGGGTTCTGACCCTGCAGGGCAAGGACTTTCTGCTGCAGGCTGGTGTCACCTCCCTGCGCACACAACCATGGGGGCCCAAGACCAGATGTTCCCATGAGGCACACCACAGCGACAGGCATGGGAAGCAGGAATCTGGCGACTGTGGTGGTCCTGGGACGGAGCCAGGAGTGCCGTATGCGGCTCCCGAGCCACTGCCTTTTCTGTGGTTTGCTTTAGGTGTTTCTTGTTTGAGGACAGGAATGAACTGGGGAAAGGTGTGTGCTGCAGCTGGGCAGCGCCCAGGGAGCAGGAAAGGTAACCCAGCAGTGCTCCAGGCATACGTGCGGGCAGGGCCAGGACTGCCAGCCGCCGCTGCCCCCGGGCTGCCCCATCACTGGGACTGCTGCAGGATCAGCTACCGGTTTTTGAAAAACAGCTTTATTGAGGTAGAATTTATAAGCCATATGACTGACGTGTTTAAAATGCATAATTAGAGATTTGGGGTAAATTTACCAAGTGGTGCAGCCACCACCATGCCCACGTTCAGAACATTTCCACCACCCCAGAAAGATCCCTGTGCGGCTCTCCAGTCAGCCCCACCCCACCTGGCCGGCAACCACAGGTCCTGTCTGCGTGTGTGGCCTTTCTAGCATTTTCTGCATGTGGAGCCCAAGAGCATGTGCGCTCTGGGTCCAGCACTCTCAGTGGGATGGGGCTTCCACCTCTTCACGGCTGAACATGGCTCCACTGTGTGGCGGGACCCCTCACCCGGGGATGGATGCTTGGGTCGGCCCACTTTCTGCTGTTGTAAGCCAAACGCTGAGCATGTGCGGACACTGGCACACAGGCCCTTAGGGGGCCGTGTCTCCTGGCTGGACCCCACATGAATGCATGACGGGTATTGCGATTACGGTTTGGGAGGAAATTAGATATGCCCAGATACAGAATTCAGATGGGACAGCAGGAGGAGCGAGAGGTGATTTCTGCCCTGTGTCTCTCCCAGGACCGTCACTGTCGTCATATTCCTGCTCTCCGCACCTGTCGCTGTTGTATATACAGGAGACATATCTTAGTTTAGGGTCCCCTGAAAACAGAGCTGGAGACAGGGCCTCAGGTGCAAGTAGATAACTTGGAAGGGACCCCAGGAAGTGACCCTAGGAGGAGAGAGAAGGAGGTGGGACCAGGGTCCCCCAGGCGTCTGTGCTCCATCTAGCTGGGCACCACCAAGGATCGGCCTTCTGGAGAACAAGGACAGGTGGCTGGATCGTTTATCTGAGAACTCCTCCCCTTGGCTGAGGGCGGAGGCCAGGGAATGCCCACCCCACTCCCTGCTATGCATGGGCTGACGTATGTTGTGTGTGGGCATCTCATATGCGAGGGCAGGCTCTTCCTTGGTCTGGGCCCCAACCACTCACATGCCCTCTACCTCTGCAATGTCCCCTCTTCCCAGGACACAGGATGATCCCTTGTGCGGATAGGCAACCACTCCCACTGATACTTAGGTTCTTCTGTTTTCTCTCTTAAAAAATGCTGTGACAACTTGCTTTGAGCTGCATCAGAAGTCAGGTGGCATGGAGGATGGATGGACGGATATGCTGTAGCAAGTGCAGTAAAACACAGTAGAATCTAGGGTACTCACTGTGTGACTGTTTAAACTTTGCTGTATGATTGAACATTTAATGGTCAAGTGTTGGGGGAAAATGGTGCAACCAACAGCCGTGGGCAAGAACAGCTGTGCAGCGACTCCCCAGCAGCGGAGTCTCTGGCTGGTTTCCAGAGACGCTGCCTGGGCACCCTCCCCGGAGACATCCTGAGCCACACTCTGGCCACAGGGAGGAGCACAGCCTCTCTACATGTAAAAGTCCCAGGCAGGGACACGGCGAGAGCCCACAGGAGACTGTGGGGTGCAGGGCCCTGCTGCCCAGCTTCCTCCGGGAGAGCGAAGGTCCTGGCAGCAGAGCAGCTGGAGGGGTCCTCAAGTTAGGAAATGGCCCACTGTGCGGGGTCCACTGTGCAGGACCAACTTGCCCAGGGGAAGCACAGAGAAGGGGCAGATGCTGCCCGAGAAG